ATTTACACAAGATGACGCCCATATATTTTGTACCAAAGATCAAGTCAAAGGTGAGTTCCAAAAAGTGTTGGAATTGACTACGATGGTGATCAAAAAGATGGGTTTTGAAAACTTTACTGCGCAAATATCCCTACGTGATCCCGAAAAACCAGAAAAGTATATTGGTTCGGAAGAAAATTGGCAGGCAGCTGAGCAAGGTATCATAGATGCAGTCGGAGAGTTTGACATAGAGACAGTAACAGCTTATGGAGAAGCAGCTTTTTATGGTCCGAAGTTGGACTTTATGATTAAAGATGCCCTAGGTAGATCGTGGCAGTTAGGTACGATTCAGGTGGATTATAACCTTCCAGAAAGATTCGAACTAGAGTATATAGGTTCAGATAACCATTCCCATCGTCCAGTGATGATACACAGAGCGCCATTCGGATCTATGGAACGTTTCATCAGTATCATGATCGAGCACACAGCGGGTAAATTCCCATTATGGTTGACACCAGATCAGTTTGCATTGTTGCCGATTTCAGATAGACTATTGCCTTATTGTGAAGAGATTCAAGCAGCATTGGCAAAACACGATATCCGTGGTTTTATCGATGATAGAGCTGAGTCCATTGGTCGTAAAATCAGAGATACAGAGTTAAAAAGAGTGCCAATCATGTTGATCATCGGGGATAAAGAATTCGAAAATGGTCAAGTTTCAGTAAGAAGGCAAGGTCAAGGAGATGTAGGAAGCATGTCTGTGGCAGAGTTTGTAAGTTATTTCGAGGCAGAGTTAGAAAAACAAGGGTAAGTCAATTCCAAAAAGTATTTAGTGGTAAATAATAAATGATTACTTGCTACTAAATTGATAATCAACGGTTTCCCTTTAGGGTGAAGGGTAGAAAACAGTTGATTATCTTAAAGTCCTTACTTTCGGAGTGGATTCGTTAATTAAAATTCTAGCTTTTTTGTGTCTTCGTGTCTTTGTGGCAAAGTTTGTTTTTACTAAGTAGTTTTAAGGTCAAATAAATTAAAAATGCTGGCAGCAATTCTCACAATAGGTGATGAAATTTTGATAGGACAAGTAGTAGATACCAATTCCGCTTGGTTAGGTCAGCACCTTTCCGAAATAGGCGTGACTGTCAAAAAATCTTGGTCTGTAGCTGATACCCATGAAGACATCACCCTTGGTCTAAAACAAGCATTGGCAGAAGCTGATATCGTTTTTATAACGGGTGGCCTTGGTCCTACCAAAGATGACATGACCAAAAAAGCTATTGCCGATTATCTGGGCGTAGAAATGTTTTTTCATCAAGATACTTATGATCGTATCAAAAGGATTTTTGACCGTATGGGACGAGCCATGTCAGCAGCCCATGACGACCAATGCCTGATGCCTTTAGGTACACAAATTCTTACCAATAGCATGGGTACTGCACCCGGTATGTTGTTCAGGCACGAAGGAAAAATGATCATTTCTATGCCAGGTGTACCTTACGAAATGAAGGCCATCATGACAGAAGAAGTGTTGCCTATGTTGGTAGCTCAAGTAGATACCACGATCGTCCACAAAACGATTCTGACCACAGGTGTAGGAGAGACGACCATCGAAAACGAACTCTCAGACATTATTTCTACTTTTCCTTCTTTTCTCAAAATAGCTTATTTGCCGTCTTTAGCACAAGTGAGACTAAGACTCAGTGCCACAGGAACTGACAAAACACAATTAAATAATACAGTAGAAGCCTTTGCCAATCAGATTATTGAGAAGCTTGGAGACATCATATACGGATATGGAGATTCATCTTTAGAAAAAGAAATTGCATTGCTTTGTCATGAAAAAAAGATTAATCTAGGAATGGCAGAGAGTTGCACTGGCGGACATATAGCCAGCAAAATAGTGTCCATTCCTGGCTCTTCAGCTTTTTTTAGTGGTGGTTTTGTTTCATACTCATACGAGTCTAAAGTCAATTTACTCCATGTCAATCCTGCTACACTCACGACTTATGGCGCTGTAAGTGAAGAGACTGTAAAAGAAATGGTAGATGGTACAATCGACGCCTTAAAAGTGGATTTAGCATTGTCTGTTTCAGGCATTGCAGGACCAGATGGCGGTACGCCAGATAAACCTGTCGGGACTATTTGGATTTGTGTCGGCAATAAAGAAAATAAAGTTACCTATCTATTGAAAGCAGGCAAGGATAGATCAAAGAATATTGAGATTGCGTCCATTTATGCACTCAACTTACTTAGAAAATTTATACTTGCTCAATAAATATTCGTAATTTTGCGCTTTCTAAACCTAACCGAAATCAAACAGAATGGCAAAAGTAGAATTATTAATGCCCAAAATGGGCGAAAGTATCATAGAAGCCACCATCCTTAAATGGGTAAAAAAAGTTGGCGACAAAGTAGAGATGGATGAAACCATACTCGAAATAGCAACCGATAAAGTAGATTCTGAAATACCTTCGCCAATCTCAGGTACAATCGCTGAGATATTATTTCCTGAAGACTCCGTTGTGGAGGTAGGAAAAGTGATTGCAATTATTGCCACAGAAGGCGAAAATGTGCAAGCAGCAGCATCACCTGCCATCCAAGAAGTCGCTCAAAATCCAGTCGCTCAAACAGCAGCAGCAGTCGTAGAGACGGAGATTGCAGCTGTTCAAACAAATGTATTATCTACTCCAGCAAGTGGTGATGCAGACGATCGATTTTATTCTCCATTGGTAAAAAGCATTGCAAAAGAAGAAAAAATTTCGCCAAATGAGCTGAGCAATATCACTGGTTCTGGTGCAAATGGAAGAGTCACTAAGAAGGATATTTTAGATTTTGTAGCAACTCGTAGTAGTGCACCACAACAAGTAGTTTCAGCTCCAGTAGAAGTTAAAGCGGCATCTGCTGCACCACAAATCAATACATCGTCAGCAGCACCGTCTGCATCTATTTCTGGCAACGTCGAGATCATTGAGATGGACAGAATGCGAAAATTGATTGCTGATCATATGGTGATGTCTAAGCAAACTTCACCACACGTCACTTCATTTGTCGAAGCCGATGTGACTAATATGTTTCAGTGGAGAGAAAAAAATAAAAAGAAATTCCAAGAGAAATATGGTGAAAACATCACGTTTACGCCACTTTTTGTCGATGCAGTCGTAAAAGCTATCAAGGATTATCCAATGATCAATATTTCGCTTGATGGTACAAAAATTATTGTCAAAAAAGATATAAATATTGGAATGTCAGCCGCACTTCCTTCTGGAAATTTGATAGTACCAGTGATAAAAAATGCTGATTATCTCAATTTGGCTGGACTTACTAAAACGGTAAATGATCTTG